TCCGCTCCTACGTGCACATGCGCAGTGTGAGTCAGAATAATTACACCTTTAAGTAAGCTATGTGATGGCATGTCATTCTTATCTGCAGAAGAGTTGATGGTCAGTTTTGTTGGAGAGGAAAAAATGAGAAGCGTGAGTTTACCTCTGTCCTCGCAGGCGCTCGCGGGCTTTGCAGGTGAGCTGATCACGCACCCCCGCGCCCGCCCCCCGCTGGTCCAAGAAGAGGAAGTCGCAGATTTGAAACCCAAGACAGACAGCGCTGGCTATTTCTAGCTCTGAGCTGGAGGGAACTGCTGACAGGAATGCAGGCCCCGCACAGCCAGCAGGGGTGTGGCACGGGGACAGGCCCAGGAACCCGGTTTCATACCTCCGGGAGAGCCGGCAGAGGCATGCTCCCGGAGCCTCGGCGAGGAACCCCACCTGGCCGATCTGTCATCTTGGCCTTTTGCAGCCCCCAGCAGGGACCTGGGGTGCACCGTGCCAGGATCCTGCCTCACGCAAACTCAGCAAGTTGTGTCGTAGTGAGCTGCTAAATCTGTGGTAGTGTTATGATGCACCATGGAAAACCAATGCATCGATAGAACACGAACACAGGGGTCCACCGTGAGGGTCGGCATTCTTTATAGGAAGGAGCTGACTCGCCAGTGTTTTCAGAGTCCTAAGACCTCGGTGGGGAACGCCTGTTCTGCGGGACCTGCAGAGGTGCTGGCGACGTCCGTGTGTCTGGCTCCCTGGACCGAGGAGACAGACGTCCCGTCCAGCCCAGAAGACGTACACGTGCCGCCCCAGGGCCCCTCGCACCGCAGACTGGCCACGTCCTCTGCGGTTGTCTAGGACGGCCCCGCACCAGAGGGCATGGACGTGTGTTCCTGGCCGCCATGTTACAGGAAGACCGGGGAGAAGACGGCTTCGCTGGAACAGGAGTGCCCAGGCCCGGTGTTCTCCCTGAGCTAAGGGCGCCACGCAGTAAACACATACATCTCGTGTAAAAGGGTGTGATGTGTGTTCCGCTGCGTCTTTCAAGTTGTGCTTGGATTGTACATCTGGAACACCAGCAAACGACAGAAGGAGAAGTCTGTGGCCACCGCCAGTGTCTCCCACACGGCCGCCTCGCTGGCCTCCTGGCTGGCACTGTGGCTTGGCCCCTCCACAGTGAATGGCCTTTACACGCAGCTGAGGGCCTGCCCTAGTCTGCTGCGTGTCGCTGATGGACGGACCTGAGGCTGGAAGGACAAGGAGAGGTCCTGGTGGGTGGGGAGTCCGGAGGCTGGCCTCCGACTGGGCACGTCACACATGGTGACGGGAGCAGAGGGGACGGCAGACGTGCGCAGAGCTGGCCCGGTCAGCCCTCCTCCGCTCTTGCGGAGCCCACCCCGGTGACCTCTGCTTCTCAGCTTCCTGGCTGACCGCACAAGGCGCTCGGCCCGAGTGGACGCGGGCTCCCTCCAGCTTCGACGTGGTGCTCAGAGGCGGAACTTCAGGCTGCACGGCCTCTGCCGTCGCCTGGCTCGGTTTCCCCTAGCGCTCGATGCTGGCTCTCCGACTGCTTGTTCTGTCTGTCTGCGGTATGTGTCCTCTGTCTCCCACAGCCTTTCTCGCCGTCTGCCCCGCTTCCAGGCCTGCAGGGATTCAGCCATGTGCAAAGGAGACTCATCTGCCCGGGGCATTGGTGCCCGAACATGCTTGGAGCACTTTCCATGCTTAGTGATCTCACACAGACACACCCACACACCCGCGTGAGTACGCACATGCACACACACACACAGACACACACACATGCACAGACACAGACATGCATACACACACACACACAGACGCACATGCACACACACGCACAGACACACATGCACAGACACAGACATGCACACACACACACACACACACACACACACACACACACACGGCTAGTTGTGCGTTGCGATGTAGCTGCGCACCTTGTCTGCAGACTCCGGTGGTCAGCTGACTCTCCCCTCACCTCCTCTCCCCCTGAACTGCCCCAGTTGTTACTCGGGGACTAGAAGAATGGAAGGGAGAATGACTGCACCGCCTGTCTGAAAACAGAACCAAAGCTGCAGTGCCAGGGGCCTCGCCCGACGTGTGCTCAGAGAGCCAAAGGGCAGCAACCCCAGGAAGCCCCAGTTAGGCCGGGCGTGCCGCGTGGCCGCGGGGCCGTGTGTGGTGCAGGTGCAGCCCGCTCCGTTCCGTCTGTCTGTGCATGTGGTGGAGGCGGTTGGCGGGAGGAAGAAGGGAACCCTTAGAATTCTGCTCACACACATTATTGAGATTTCATATTGCTTTTATTATTTGCCCACCGAAATGGATATAATCCGTGTTGGCTCTAACACACCTACTAGTACTGCTTTCGCTATCCATCTTGCACATAGAAGACAAGGCCAGAGCTTAAATTAAAATCCCCAGCTTCTTATCTCCTTCCCACAGGAAAGCCAATCTGTGTTGAAAACCGTAAAATTAAGAGGAGAGCAAGGATAGCATAATTTAGCAGAAATTCGCGGCGCCAGATTCTGAGCTGTATGCCTGGAGGGGTAGGTCAGGCACTGAGGAGACGCCGCCTGCTAATGCAGTTCCTCAAGGTGGTGCCCCGGAAACAGGCAGGCTTGCACGCGTGCACTCCGGGCTTCTGTAGGGCTTCCTCGGCACCGGCACCGTAAGAAATGTCTGCAGAGTGCTGGTAATTACGCGCCTAGGAGACGGTCAAAGGGAGTTCAAGCACTTGCTCTAGGAGAAGCTGAGATGCTCTTCCTTTCCAGCGGTGGGCATGGGGATTTGTGCTTCCAGGTAGCACCCCTTCCCCTCGGCCCCAACCAGTGGCACCTCCTCCAGCATTCCCAGTTCCTGGTGCTGGGGAACACTTGAAATGGGTCAGGAGATTGTTTTTGACCTTCTACACAAGTATGTGCGTAGGTATTTGCGCCAAGGTATGTGGAGAAAAGTCGTGTGGCCTTGATAGAGCTGCTATGTTTAATAAACGCCAAGGGTGCCAGGAGCTGGGCATGGCTTCCCATTAGGGAGGAGCTGATCATTATAAAAGGGAAAATTGATGATGGAAATCATATCGTTGTCCCCCAAAGTGTGAGGTTGTTTTTTTGTTTTTTTGTTTTGTTTGTTTGTTTTTGCTATAGGGCGCATGTGCTCACCAGAAACAGAGAGAGAGACAGAAAGCGAGAAATCACTCCCTGGGGGGGATGGCCACACCGCAATCCCTTCTCCTCCATTCTCCTCTCGGGATCTTGGGCACACATGCACATGACCCTGGCGTTAGTTTAAGCCACCAGATCTGGGACTTGAACCACGGTCGGCTGCCTGGGAGTCCAGCAACATGCCATTACACTAACTGCTGGTCCCCAAAGTGCGAGGTTTTAATTCTCCCCTCATAAGTTTATTCTTTTTGGAGGGACAGGGCTTGCAATGATAGTGAAATGTAATGATGAAAAGAGGAATTACGTGTTACTAGGATATTATTCCTGACTTTCTTGAGTGTGGTCCTTCCTATTAGAGCTACCTAATTTTCACGCTTAATTGGTTAAAAATAAAAATGGAATTCAGAATCAGTGTGCGTGGCGGGTGCTGCACCCTGCCCGGGGCCAAGGCAGCCCCACCACCTAGCAGGTGACCGCTGTGTTTTAGCAGCTCATGTTGTGTGCTGGTAAAGGCACTTCCACAGTTTAAGAAAATTATGAATATTCGCTTCTGGAGAGACCGAGTTCATGTCCTTTGTATTATTTAAATCTATGTTTGTTTGAGTAAGTCTCGCTGATTCAAACAAATCATGCTACGGGCATGTCTGGATTACTGCATTCAGTTCATTCTATTCTCTGAGAGCAGCCTACTCTTACCACAGTGTTTCTAGATTCTTCCTGACACTGCTTTAATTAGTAGATGGTTTAAGATCAGAATCGTCTTTTCCATGTCTGTAATTATGTGGAGTTTCCTTTGGGGGGGCAGATTATGGAACTTAAAAAAAATAGTTCCCTAATTAAATTAAACCTGCCTTAATCTTGTTTGCATTACTGATTTGCTCAGTAAGCAGTATCATGGAAAAAAAAAAAGAATTTCGACTTTGTCTACCGTCTAAATGATCACAGATGTCAAAGTGATGAAGTCAAACCGGATAACCTGAACCTTTAAAAACATGTTACTGCTATGAAATTTTGGAAGTTCTAAGTTAAATAATAAAATCCATGTGTAAATAAGTATGATACATGCAAAGTATGTTTAAATGTAAAACGTCAGCCATTTTAAATAGTCTTTCTCTACAAACTTAGGTTTCAAATTATGCAACCAAACTCAAAATTGGGAATTCCTTTTTATCAGTTAATACTTGTGGATACGAGAGGAGTAGAAAAGGAACTGAGGGGAAAGTCATGTTTGATTGACAAAGCAATAACACACGAAAAAGTAATGGCGTAACATTCTTAAAGATGCATGGCAATATAATTATGAGTTCTATAAACTGAAGGGATGTCTGTGCAAAAAGTTATATTTATAGATTTATAGGGTTCTTTAAATATTTGCCCTGAAAATTAGCAATACTTATTTATTTATTTGTTCACTGGACAGTTTTATTATTGAGTGCCCTTTTTGTGTGTTGAACAACATGTAATGAACAAAGAACTTTTCTACCATTTATAACTTTTGCTCCAGTAACTATTGAACTCAGCCCCAGGAGATGATCCTAACATGAGTGTGAGTATGTGTGTACAGAGCTTCATGTCATAAGGAATGATAGTGACCAACCTAATTCCCTAAAGAAGCCCTGGTGCAACACCTGATAGGGTATTCATGGTGGGACATTCATGACTTGAGTATTTGCTGTGGAAGAACTCCGAAGATCTAGGTGGGTGGTTTCAGTCGTCCAGGTCTGGAGGTGATTCCTGTGTTGTGTGGATGACTGGTTCCTGCAGTGCTGTGGCTTTTTCTTTGGGGCAGGAGGCCAGAACGGGATCCCTGTGTTAACTGTGAACCTTGTGGTTACGTTGCAGTCGAACAAGGTGCCCGTGGTGCAGCCGTCCCATGCGGTCCACCCTCTCACGCCCCTCATCACCTACAGCGACGAGCACTTTTCTCCAGGATCACACCCAGCACACCTCCCATCCGACGTCAACGCCAAGCAAGGTGAGAGCCCCAGAGAGGACCCAGGTCTTGTCTCACGAGTCAGGTGACACCCCAGAGCCTTTGCTTCGTGCCCCTCGGTGCTTTGGAACTCATTGAGGAAAGATGAGAGTACTCGCTTTTAGAAAAACCTTTATTTTTTCCATTAAAAACAAGAGTTGGAGACAAAGACAGGCACCCTCTCAGGCTCCCTGGGCTGGGAATTGAGAACTGGTCAGCTCCGGTCCCAGCTGACCCAGATCACGAACACACATGTGTCCCCAAACTGCTAGGGAGGGTGCAGGACGTGAACCCAGGGCCTACCCTGTAGGTGTAGTTGTGTCCCCACTGTGCCACCACCTGGCCCCCCAAGGAGTGAGACAGATGCAGTCCTGACAGAGTCCTCATACTGACCCATCCCCAGTCCCAGCCACTCTGGTTCCCAGCAAGTGCACACCGGTGCCCAGAAGAGGCCTAGACACCTGACTGGGAACCTCTTTCGTGGACCCCGCAAGTCCCTGCATGTCCCGCCCAGCCCCATCACTGGGCCTTTGAAAGGTCAGCACCAGGGTCTCCCGGAGCTACGGGAAAGCAGAGGGTGTTGGGTCAGGTCTGCCTCCTGCGTCTCGCCCTCTGTGCAGCCCTGCCTGCCCTGTAGTGGGCGACACCGTTTAATGAGCCTGCGAAAAGAGCCGAGTAGAGGCAGGGTGGCCTTCCTAGTGCTGAGGACACTTCTAGGGCAAGTGATGAACACGCAGCCCTCCCTGCTCCTGAACCAAAACGCCTATTTGCAGACCATGTGTCTGCGTGGTTGAACTTGGGAGCCCAGATGGCTTACCTGGAAGGTAAGACCGCACCCTGCAGCCGCCCTCCTCATCTGGCCCTTCCTCCCCGCTCCCTCCCGTCAGGAGCCTCAAAGACCAGAAACACCCAAGCATCTCTACGCTGTGCAGTGAGAAGGGGAGACAGGGTGGGGGCCTCAGAGAAGGCTGTGCTTGGGGTCGGGGTCGCACTATGACCCTGGTGAGTTCGGGGTGGCTTTGGGTATCCGAAGGGGAGACAGGGGAGAGGAAACTTACACACAGTCACTACAGCAAGCAGGGTCAGGCTGCAGATAACTGCTGGGAACCATGTGGATGTGGAGGCCGGTGTGCACAGCCAGCCTCAGACACGCAGGAAGCAAGGACAGGACCAGGACGGCGTGCCACTCGGGTTCTCGGGTTTTCGCCCTTTGTTGAGTTAGCAATTAAATATGCCTGTTGTCTCCTACGCCCCCTTCAGGCACTTTGAAACACTAATTTATGTAAAAGAAAAACACGTCAGGGTTCCACTTTTCTCTCAAGAACTCTAGGGAAATTCCACTTTTAAAAAGAGACAGGTTTTAACTGCCGACCTGCCCTGTTTCTGTTCTCCTGTTCCCATCTCCCCCTGCTGCCCGGCCTTGTTCTGCCTCACTGGAGTTGATATCATTGCTTCTCAGACTTTAAAAACATACTCTTAGAAGCAGCACAGTTTGGGTCTTTATTCTGTCCTATAAGTTGTTGCGATTTTTGTGTTCTTTTTTTTGAGAGGTTTTTGCTATAGGGAGCGTGCACTCGCCAGAAAGACAGAGAGAGACAGAGAGACAGAAAGCAAGAAATCACCTCCCAGGGGGGGATGGTCACGCCACAATCCCTTCTCCTCCATTCTCCTCTGGGGATCTTGGGCACGCACGCACATGCACCCGGCGTGAGTTTAAGCCACCGGGTCCGGGACGTGAACCGCAGTCGACTACATGGGAGTCCAGCGACATAGCCATTACGCTAACTGCTGGTCCTGATTTTTGTGTACTTTTCCATACACGGTTTGTGTTGGCTTCGTTTACTTATTTACTTGATTTCGAATTTGCCGGAGAGCGCATGTGCTCACGAGTGAGAAGGTGCAAAAGCTCCCCTCGGGAAAGTGGCTGTGCTGCAATCCCTTCGCGTCCATTCTCCTCTGGGACTTGGGCGTGTGCACGCACGCACCAGTGTGACTTTCGAGCCACCAGTTCTGGGACTCCAGCCGCACGGCTGAGCGTGAGGGATGCAGCCTTAACCACTGTCCACCTGCTGGCCCTGTGCTGTGTCAATGCAAGGACTCTGCTGTTACTCGCAGTCTGCCCTGGGCTCTGCGTGCCGGGTCATCGTGTCCCTCTGGGGGTATACGCTGGGTGAAAGGCATGCCGTATATGACACACTCCCTCCCCAGCACCCGCTACTCCGTGGCTGCTCTCATCTGGCTGAACACTAACAGTTCAATAACTTCTTGAAAGGCAGGTACCCAGCAAGTGCCTTTTCCATACCATCGGACTCCAGAATTACCTGTTTCTGGAAGTCACTTGTAAGAGCTTAGACATCCATAGGCCTCCTTCACACTCCTCCTGTAGTGGGTGCTCAGTAAGTGCTAGACTCAGTCATGTGAAGTGTCTTCGTATCCTCCTGTAGTGGGTGCTCAGTAAGTGCTAGACTCAGTCATGGGAAGTACCTTCATACTCCTCCTGTAGTGGGTGCTCAGTAAGTGCTAGACTCAGTCATGGGAAGTGTCTTCAGTAGCGTGTCAGTTGGCGAAGGGCATGCTTCTAAAACATCTTTGAAAATGGGATCTTTTCTTAAGTTTATTTCCTGGGAGAGAAGGAGAGGGAGACAGTGAGAGGGACCCCACACTCCCACAGGTCCTGTGTGTTGGCCACCTTGGGTGTTAGCTGACCCAGACCGAGGGCAAGCCTATGCCTGCTACTCGGGAGCCCCAGATGTGAACCGGTAACTTCTCAGGGGGTCTGCCTCACGGTTACTGCCGTGCCATCACCCAGCCAGTCCCTTCAAATGGGACCTTAGGTGACACTGCAAGCGTGTAACCTCAGTGGCACGGTGACAGAAGCTCAGGAGAGCGTGTTTCCTATGGTGCGCTGCAGCAGCCTGTGGGCCCAGACTGGAAGATCGCATCCCGCATGGACCCAGACAGGCGCCGGGCAGGCACTCAGCCCTCCCAGGCCTCCATCCACGTATCTGCAAAGCGGAAGGACCGGAGTGCCTCTCCTGGGAGTCCGTGCCTTCGACTCATGGTCTTCCCCAAGTCAATATGATGTTCCAGTTCATGCTAAGTTTCCAGGGCTCCTCTGAGCTGGTCTGGCTGAGCGTGTGTGTGTGTTCGTATTTTTTCTTCTTTCCCCCAAACAGCCAACTCCTGGAAGCCCCTGAGATCTAGGGAGGTGTCTGGCTCGTGTGGTGAGAGAGGGCGCAAACTGAGAGCTGCCTGTGACCCAGACGTGTCA